CTATTCTTGAAAACACCATCTGTCCTGTGCCTTATCGTTACCCGCGCCTGTTTGGTGTAATGGGGTACCGATGAGGCCGGGGCAGAGTCGAAACGACGATCCACCACATATAAAATCTCTTATGTTCAATGGAAAATTGATCTTTCACAGTAAACGATATAGGTATACTTATGTTTGACTTCAAGGTATAGAATAATTTGTTTTGTTCATTTGCATTTTTTTCTATATGAATATATATTTATTGACTGATGCATGCTTATGTGGTTAGGGATAGTTTACGCATTCCTCTAAACATTATACTTTGGTTAGCTTGACTACGTGTTAAATATTCCTCTATTATGTTGATTAGCAGATGTTAATAGAGCTGGATGCCATAGACTAAATCAGGATGAATAACGGACTCGCCTCTACCTTCCACATATATTGAAGAAAATTAATTTTAAAAATAGCAACTGAATGATTAAGTTATTTCATTTTTATTTATATCTTCATGCACTTGTGCAAGTGTGCTAGGGCCTACTACTAGGACTATTATATAAGGACAAATATCCGTCTCGGTGATTTTGATGGAATTGACGTATGAAGTGAGATGTACATAACGTACCCAAATACTACTAGAACTATAACCGGACCGAATAGAATATTTGCCCTCTTTTTGTTGGTGACTCGAGACCCTTTCTACTCTTAGGTCTGTCAATCAAGCACAAGTGGCCGGACTTTATCCTTACATTCAACATAGTACTTGATGAGTTAAAACTATATTCTACACATAAGAGACATTATCAGCAAGTTGATGCATTTAAGTGCATTAGATTTGTGTACACTTTCTGCCTATTGCCCCTCTCCCACTTGTGACTGTTCTACTCATCGGCTTCTACAAACATGTTTGTACCGCGATTATTTTAGGCAAATGAGGCCGATCATATGAGACCTGGGAAAGCATCAAGTTTTATTAGAAGACTATTTTTATTGCTATCTTCCTATTCCTTACTAGTTTATTCTCATCTTCCGCAAAGCAAAATTATGACAAAAAAGTCATTAAACTCACAATTTCGTCCCAAACAACCTACACAAGTGGTTTTTATACGGTATAAAAAGGTTGTTTTTTAACAAGATCTAATAGGTTATTTTAAACTTTCATTAACCATATGAGATAAGCGTGTCTTCTTTCTGAATAATTACTATCCGCTTTCCTTATATTCATAATAATTAATAACTTAAGAATGATAGCAGTAATCTTGTATAATTAAAACAAAATTTAGAATAAAACCAACATAGAAGCTCATTACAAAAAGTATTATATTTTTATTACTTCTTGAGCTGAGCCTAAGTTTTCAGTTACGTTAATAGACGTCATAAAAGATTAGTATCATTTTCACAATACCGTCAAGATGACTAACCCTCTCATCTCAACTCTTCACGATTCCTTTCACAGAAAGCATTAGATTTTCTATTTCAATGCCCATCTGTGTGAGGAGGCTAATATGCACGTATACTCGTGCGTGAGAAACCACAAATGATATATATTTGGTAAATAGAAAAATATTGGCCTATTTAAACTAATCTATGTTTAACTACTATTGAATTAAATCGGAAATCAGCCTTAATGAATCGCTGGGTCTTGTGCGTGAAAGCACATCGCCAAGCAGGCTAGCTGAACAGCAAAAGGAACTCATTAGTAGTCTTCTGATTAGATCAGATTTTGAATCACTTCATAGTACACTTTCAAACTAAAATATAATCAGCCTAACAACGGGTTATCAGAAAAAGAATGTGAAACCCTCTATTCTTCATTCAAATGAATATTAACTTTGATACAAGAGCTCTATTCAACCTATTACCTTTATGGTGTTAAAATATTGATAGTTGAATTTTTCCACAACTATATGAGTGGGCCTCATGCTTTCATAGAATTTTGTGAAATTAAATGTAAGCATGAGGGTTAGTCATATCCTAGTGGGAAAATTCAACTACCAATCATTCGTCACTTTAAACGAAATCAGGTGAATACAGCTCCTATAGCAGATCAACTATTCCTCTCAAAAACTGACTTATTAAAACTAAAAATTAACTGTGCTGACGAGAATTGATGCACTTTTACCTATTGCCCTATACTTTGACACTTTATGTCCTGGTAATGATTATTATATCGGTATTGTTGCAGTAAAATCAGATGGTATCTGGAATACCCAAAAATCGCAACCAAAATCAACGTAGTTACAGGTTTTTCGCTTTTCGATTCGCTAGACCATGCCCTTCCCAGACCTGTCGAGGGCTGACAACAGACTATGAATTGTGAACACATGTTTGTGGGTAGGCTGGCAGACACGCATACACACGCGCACCACCACCACCACCAATAATGCCAATTTTCGTCAGGCAGACCATCGATCCGAGCACATCAGGATAGCGTCAGAAACTCCGAGAGGACCAGGTGAGAAAGAGGCCCTCAAGGCGAATCATCCTCATCGGCCTTTGGTACCTTCACTGCCCGCATGGCAGCCAGTTTGGATGATTTCGACCTATCTATTAGTTCATAGACGAGCTTGTCATGCTCTCCTATGCAGAGGAATGCTCGCCTTGCCGTGGCTCACACATTTTGTGTTTGTGCAACCAGCCACATGCCCGCAGGTACAGTTGGCCTTTACTGAGGGTGCCCAATTGAGAGGTCTTACTTCCGGCTCTTCGGTTGTCCATTCATGAATCATTGCACATTCGCCCTCTACTTCCGCCCCACAGCGGACTCCTTTTCCCTGCCTAGACCCTGCCAGCACAATCAGGCCACCTCCGCTTAAATGCTGCCCTCGATCCGGCTTTCCAAGGCTGATTCAGCCCCCACGAAGAGGCGATGGAAGAGCCGTTTTGCGCCCAGTAGCCGCCTGGCCATGTGCTGCCTTGTTGGCCTGTCGGCGTGTTGCCTTCATTCTGTACAGAGTAGGCACCAGGAGCCTGAGGGGGCAGTGAGATGAGGCAGGAATTTCACTTTTATGAAGTACCGTGCACAATGTATAAACACGTCTTGGCAATATAGAAATGAGAGGATCCAAGAGGATAGATAGGTGGACATGGAAACGGAGGGTGAGATGATGAGGGTCAGGTACGAGGTCGAAGGCGAGACCCATGGAGAAAGTCGGTTTCCGAAATCGATAGAGGACGTCTTCATTTGGTTTATCCAAATTTAGGCTCGACTAAACCATACATCTTTTACTCGGCCCCCAGGCTGTAGTTAGTGTCGCCCAACAAGATGACCAACCGGTAAGCAAGGCCGGCATTGTGTCCGGGACGGGCGATAGAGGGCTGTAATGAGGCAGATACCATCAGATGGCAGTGATTCATGCAGTTCACCGGGGCCTTCTCATGTCGCCTTGTAGCCAGGCCGTGCACGCAAGGGCTTTCGGCTCCGTCTCATCAGCGTGAAGGAGGGAAAGCATGCTTTCATACCTTTTATGTTGTTTAGACGGCGGATGCAAGGGATTCATACGTTTTTTTGTAAGTGAGTAGGTTTGCGAGACCACCGGTAATGTCGTCGATTGCTATAGCAAATAGAAGTTTGCCTCATCTACCATACCGAAACAAAATGTGATATGCAAAATGGTTGACCTTCCTTGAAATTCACATCTACCCTGAGACCCGAAGGCACCCGTGGCAATGTGGCATAGGCGTTAACATGTCGAGCTTACACGCCATACTGTCATGGTTCGACTCCCGCTTGGAATATTGATAAGACCTATGCGAGGTTGAAACTGCAGTACACTCTGGATGGGAACAACTTTTGGGAAAGCAGGGCTATGTGAAATTTAATGTAAACTTCAGCCAATTCTTTCATCACCTTAAACGAAATAGGGCGAATAAAATTCGGATTGGTGGAAAGCTAAATGTTGATTGATGCTGGCCTATCGCTGGGTTCATTTGAAAAGGCATGTGGAGGAGATTCGTAAGTGGGTCTTAACAGAAGCCAAATTATACTGCTTTTGAGCTGTGACTGCATTTTTGTACTAATTAGTTCTCAGCGCATTATCCCACTATACTTGCTGAAATTTCGTCTGTCCTGCCATCATAGGTATCTTTCGAACAAGCTTTATGATACGTTTCACCAAGCCATCCTACCTACTTCTTACTGCCTAGTTTTGTCTACATAATCATTTGACTGGCTATTCTATGCCTACCCTAGATATTTACAGAAAGTGAAGTAATTGCAAGTGTTACCTAATAGCTGCACTCTCATCTATATCACTTGTATCTTTGATCCTACAATTTTGATACACACACTAGCTTTCCGTTGCTATTGTATTGAGTGTGAAAAATAGATTCGAGCCTTGGCAGTATTTCTTGTTTTCCCCATTTCCCCTCTTCTCTCTCTCTAATCTTATCCAACAGCTATAAGTGCTTCCAGCAAGTAAGTTTCTACACTCATTCCTTCTTTATGGGGTGATAAATCTAACTAAATTCACACTTTTCTTTCGTATGTAAGTAGAGTTTCGAGACTACCAGTAAATCAGTAATATAAGATGTATTCACCCTATTTCGCTTAAGGTGATGAAGCAAACGTCAGCTCGACTCATAACATTGTGGGAAAATTCTACTACCAGTCCTTCATCACTTTAAACGAAATAGGGTGAATACATCTCATATTA